AGAGAGAATTTCCAACATTTATTTTTTAGTTCTCGGCGGACACAACATCTTTGTTGGTATGTGGTGCTGAGGATCGAACCCGGGTCGCACGCATGCCAGGCGAGCGCGCTACCACTTGAGCCACATCCCCAGTCCACTGACTTTCTTTTTTATGTCCTAAACTTATCTTCAACTATAATTTTACAATATAAGACTACAAATAAATCCTTGATCACTATTACTGATTCACCAAAGAAATAGCTTACACACATTGATGAATGTGTTTCCACATGAACACTGGCTGATGTTTTGGGAAAGCTGAAGAGCTTCTTTACTTGACTGATGAGAATATAGTCTTGTGAGCATTTCTATTTCTGTTTACACTGATCTTATGCCTGGAAACTTTCTCTTCCCTTTCAACCCCATACATCTTCATTTATCAGAAGCAGATTCTTCATGAAAGACTTCCTTAATCATAGCTAATCTTGCCTTTATTTTGCATATCTATACCTGTCTTATAGCATTTTACACAGTCTTCTTTGCGTTCCTTCCAGATTTGCATTTGTGGGAGACTTGAGATAATCTCATTTGGGCTTGTGTTATTATGTAACCTTAGGCAAAAACTATAGTATATCTGAATCACAAGTTATTTTTTCTTTTTTTTTTTTGTTAATGTTTTTCACATATTGTCTTAGAAACAATACTTTTATTGGATTTAACACTTTAGGCAGTAAATAATTTATTTTTTTACCGTCATATTCTGAAAATCTTGCTTGATACGCAATAGTCTGTGTACATACTTTTGGTTTATGAATCTTTGAGTTTGTGAATACTCTTAAGCCCATATCCTATAAAGAAAATGATCACCTGATTAGTACATAACACATACATATATTTTGAATTCAACAAATAGTATAAGTAGCTTAATATTAAACTTTTAATGGTTATATTTGTAGAAGGAATATTAGTAGACTTACAATTTCATTTTGTCTAAAACAGTAATTATTTTATATAAAGGAAATTTATAAATATCACAAAGCATGGGCTGGGTTGTGGCTCAGTGATAGAGTGTTTGCCTTGCATATGTGAGGCACTGGGTTCAATCCTCAACACCACATAAAAATAAATAAAACAAATTAATTGTGTCCATATACATCTAAAAAATTAAAAAAATCCAAAGCAATGAACTTTAATAAAAAAGGAAACTTGATTAAGAGTCCAGAAGTTCCAGTCCTGGTTCTGTTGCTTTTAGCAGAGCTACTGCTATTATTGACTTTGGAGGAAGTCATTTGATACCTCTGTTCCATTAACCTCAACCATGATAAAAGGCATTAAAGTAAATAATTTCTCTATATGTGATATTTTAAGAACCTTAAGGATTCTCTTCAACATCAGAAATTTACCTTTAGGAAGCTATACATATCTTTTTCATTTGTATTTGACACTGGGGAATACCGGATTCCATTAATATAGACATTATCACGATTGACACAGTCTCCATGATCTTCAGCCTCATTCAAATCTTCAGGGAAGCCAGTGAGGTCCTTCACTGGTAGAAGCTTATAAACCTGTGTAAATTCAAAGGACATGGGGGCTAACTTACTATTTTTAGAGCAAGCAGAAAAGAAAAAGAATAATTACCACTCAGTATTTAACAGTACAAGTAGCTTAATATTAAACTTTTAATGGTCATATTTGTAGAAGGAACATTAGTATACTTACACTAAACAGGCACACACACACTCTAAACAGGCATATGACTAGGTATTGTATGCATCTTCTATATAAGACAGGATAATATTTTCTAAGGTATTATTCATAGAAGCAAAATGCTCCAGATTCACACCAGACATACATCTGCAAAATACTGAAAACCACACTTTCAGATTCATTTGAAGGGTAGAAGACAGACAGACATAAAAGTGCTGATAGGTGCATGGCACGAAATTTATAGAAGTTTGAAATTGAATAGATGGGCAAAGTATGTGGTGTGATGAACTTAGACAGTTTCTCAAAGGCAACTCTCTTAACATTCCTCTTGCCCCTTCCTGCTTTTATTTCTCTCCAAAGCATGTATTATCGGTCTCATCTATGAAAATGTAAATCCCACCAGATATATATATATATATATATATTTGTGCTGGAGATTGAACTCAAGGGCACTTAACCACTGAGCCACAACCCCAGGCCCTTTTTATTGTTTTTTATTTTGAGACTGGGTCTTGCTAAGTTGGTTAGGGCTTTGCCAAATTGCTGAGTCTATCTTTGAACTTGTGATCCTCCTGCTTCAACCTCCTAAGCTGCTGGAGTTACAGGTGGTGGACACTGTATCTGGCCAGACCTATGTTTTTAATCTTTCTGGTAGTTCACTACCAGACTCGCAGCATTTAACGTAGTGTCTTGAACATAGTAGGTATTAAATATGTGTTAAATGAATGACTTCTTAGTAGTAGGAGCACAGTATTTCATTAATAAAACACTAATCATGGATTGAGAAGAACTAGCATCCTACGAATACTTGAAAGCTTCTGTGTTATTATTAATAATTTAATAATAAAGAGTTGTTGCAGTTTGGGTTGGGGTCGCTCAGCACTTGCCTAGCATGTGTGAGGCACTGGTTTGATTCTCAGCACCACATATAAACAAACAAATAAAGGTCCATTGACAACTAAAAAAAAAAATTAAAAAAAGAGTTGTACAATTTAAAAAACCTTTGAGAACTTAAAATTGTTATGCAAACATAAAACATTAATTTTTCCATATATACTTATGTTCCCACTATTGCAATGTACTTTTAATTCTTCCTTTAAAAATACCTAATAGCTTCAACTAAAATCCCACTTAGAAGAACCAAAAAAGTAAGAAATATATCCTCATAAGTTTCTATTTTTAGGGAATTAGCAATATAAAATTTTCCTTTGTAAAATTTTGATAGAAGAAAACTTCAATAAGTTGTTTTTCCAGTTTGTCTCATATTGAAAATTTGAAGATATGAGCAGCAACCTGTGCATGTTATTAAGTAGTTAAGTGAAATAGCATACCATTTTGCTATTTCTTTTATTAACACTGTATTTAAAAATATATGACTTATCAGTGTCATTTAGCAGTTCACTTTTGGTAATTTTTAATCATCAGAGACTATATATAATTTTTTAGAAATTATTGAGATAGTCATCAGCTTGAGATATTCATAATTTCAACAGATTTAATTATAGAAACATAAATCTGAAGTTTCATCTAATCTGTGCAGTCTTAGTGCAGGAAAATGTATCACTTTCATTAGGAATTTCAAAATGTTAAAACTATTATTGGTTTCACAAAGCTGAGGGAATTCAGAGGCTTTGTATAATACATGGTCTCTTCTACATTAATAAATATAATTTACAAATAACTTTTCTGATTCCTCAGAGTTACTTTCTTTATTTGTGTATCTGTCCCTTTCTTTTTGCAACCTGCCCTGTATTCTCTCAGCATTTCATATATAGATGGTTTTATACAATCATATTTGGGTTTGTATTGCCATGTGACGTAGAGCAAGAACTTTACTATATCTGAATCATAAGTCTATTTTTGGTTAATTTTTATCATATTTTGTTTTTAAAAATTCTTTTATTTGGTTCAGTACATGGTGCAATAAATTTTTATTAATTCTTTTCAGCTGCAGAAGGTAGTTTTGTATGTGTGTGTGTACAGAGAGAGAGAAAGAGAACATGAGAAATTATGTACAATTATCTTTCTCTCTAAAGAAAGCACACATGAAAGAGCTCAAAATTATTAACTTATAGATAGATATAATTTTAATAATCCTGTCTGTTTCAAGCATTTCTTCCTGATCTAAGCCCGTTGCACAGTCCTTCGTGATCTCTGAGGCTGTCAGGAACTCACCGATGATGCAGAGAGCTCAGCCTCGGGCCTCATGAGCAGCACACTTTGGTCCACGGCTCGGAGAGCACAGAGGGACTGAGGAGAAGCTGTGACTCGCAGGTGGGCATGTGAGGCTGGAAGAGTTTGTACTGGTTTGAAGCTCAAATCCACCTGTGAATTTCGTGCAGATGTCAGAAAAGCAAATTTCCAGATTAACCATGGGTTCACTTGCATTTCCTGAGTGTTCCTCAATTTAGTGCATAACTACTTTGTTTGCCTTCCTGGTGACTGGTATTTTGTAAGTACTAAGGCTTTTTGTCTTCTGTAATTTGAATTTCAAGATTCAGTAGAGGCATTGAAATGACTTATGATTTATAAACTACTAATTTTGAGATGTCATTTTTATTCTTTCATACACAATGAGGTGCTTATTAATTTAGGGTGGAATGCAAACGAATCTAAGTGCTCCTGTTTTTTGTTTTGGATATTTGTGGTCTTAAAAACTTGGTTGCATACTTCCCAATATTTCTTCATAAAAGAAGGGAGCAAGGTACTTTGAGCTGTGACATGTTAAAGACAATGGTATATATAGAATTTTGCAGAGTTAGTCAATTGACATGGCTTCTTAGTGTGATTCTGTTGTTACTTTATTGGTTGTCTCTGGGGAATTCATTTAAACCCTTTGGTCTCAATGCTCACACTTATGAAGTAATTCATAATTATAATAACTATCAATTTTGAATGTTGAAATTTTATGGTATGAAGCACCCACCTTGTTTGCCAGACAATTTTCAATATCATATTTTGCAGAATCTCCAACCACTTCCCCATCAGGTAAAATGGCATAGATCAGCAATCGAGCAATCGGAGCCAAGTCTGACTCCACAAGGAAGGTCACGGAAAAATGGCCTTTCACTGGAACAGAGAGAATGAGAGGATCAGTCATGTGTTATACATCTCCCCAAAGCTGAAATAAAATCATTGTGTCACACAGCCATTTTAGGAGCTTGGTCTGGTTAATAACTGCTTCTATGAGTAGATATAATAAACAGTACATGTTAATAAGAATCCCAACTTTTGAAAACCTTCCTCTCCTACATAAATCACATGTTGATTTCTCACCACTTTTAGCTTTAGCTCACCTATATAAGATTCTGAACTAAAGGTGTGGATACATCTAACTTTGGTACCATTTGATCTAGACCTCACACTAGGAGGTCTAGATTAAAGGGAATTAGAAACTGAAATTATGCTAAGAGTTTAGCACATTGTATTTATGCTCATATCTTCTCTCCCCTTCTGTGAAGCAAATATTTCATCCTTTTATCAGAGGAAGACTATGTTCCTTTGGAAGTTTTTTTTTTAATGCCTCTGTAGATTATTTAGAGGTTGCATTAAACATTCCTAAGTTGGTGCTTTGTGTTGGTTCAGAGATGTCAAAAGAGTAGTTCATTTATAGTTTTCCAGTAACTCATTGCTTAGATTCCTTAGAATAGGAGAAAACCTCAAAGATTTATATTGTTCCATATTTGTTTATGGGAAGAGGCCCATTCAAACATGGAAGTACTCAATTTAAAATTTGAAAATCATAACTACCTTCAAAGGAGAAATAAGATACTTATTAAGATATCAATGATTTCGAACAAGACCTGGAATATAGAAGGACTCCCAGAACTTTCCTGTCCTCCTCCCCGTTCTTTATGCAATGCTAAAATGTCTCTCATTTTGAGAAGAGATCCATAAATATTTGCAGTTAAGTATATGATATGCACAATAACATCAATAGTTTAAATAATTAAACAGAATACACTGGAAGAAAAAGAAAACAAATATATGATAAAGGGAGAAAATAAGAAATATTGCTTTCCTTCCTTCAACTTCCTCTTTTTACAGAGATTAGATGGAAATTATCTGTATTGGAAAATATTCCTGTAGTGTAAGGTTAAATGGGTCAGAATAGGGCAGAAATATGGACATTTTAGAAATACATACTGTCTCCCTGCTCCACAGGCAGGACATGAGTCCCAGTTCGGACAATGCCTCCCTTTGCCATTATCTGCATAAAGAAAATAAAAAAGGAAATTTAGTTTGCCCAAAAGAGATTTTCCTCCAGTCTTGAGTTCCATGCCATAGGCTTGCTTTATTTAGCCCCTGCTCTCAATAATTTGCCACAAGAAAAGTCAAACTTTCAAAATGAACATGGATAAGAAGTCAAAATAGTGGTGTTGAAAGAGCTATATAATTACGTGCCCCACAGAGAGCTCCTTCTATAGATAAGTCAAGGCAGGGACCTCCCTTCTTACCAGATAATAGAAGACGAGCTGCTTCTGCTCCTGTAGGACCTGTTCATTTAGAAGATAATGTGCCTGGACTGTCTGAGATTGGCCACATGGCAGTTTACCAGGAAGAGGTTCAAGGTGAATAAAGCTTTTGCTCAGGGAGAACACAACATTAGCAGTGTGATATGCATTCTCATTTTCCTCTGAGAGCCACTGGTGGCTATAGCAGGAGCTGTGATCCTTGTATTTGACCTAATGAATAAAAAACAATGTTATTTTATAGATTATGTATCAAGGATCAATGTTCTCACAGAACTGTGTAAGTTCACTGTTGTACCTTAACTAATAGTTAGAAATATTTTGCTCTACAGTAAGAGATGAGAAAGATTTGTAACAAATGCAGGCCTGGTTTATGCTTTTACATTACAGAGCATCCTGGGTTTGGTATTTATATATCTGAAGCGCATAAAAGGAAGCATTCTTTGCTCTGAATAGCTTGCTTGAAATTTGGATACTTTACTATGCAGGTAGACGCTGTGAAACCTGATTGAAGAGGGTAAATATTCTCTAGAAGTTGAAGAGTTGTGCTTTATAAAGCAGTTGCTTCTTTTATGATGGGGTTTAAGTGAGTATTACGAATAAAGGAAATATTGCAACCTTTGGGGTCTGAAAAAACTTTGGGTAAAAAGCATTATTCATTTGTTTATTTTATTTTTTCTTTCCACACTTTTAATACTTTTTAAAATTATTGTTTTTATTCTTTTGATACCAGGGATTGAACCCAAGGGACTCAACCACTGAGCCAAATCCCCAGCCCGATTTTGTGTTTTATTTAGAGACAGGGTCTCACCGAGTTGTGCAGAGCCTTGATAAGTTGCTGAGCCTGGCTCTGAATTTGTGATCCTCCTGTCTCAAGCTCCTGAGATGCTGGGACTACAGGTGTGCACCCTGCACCCAGTTTCCAAGTTTTAAAATTGGTGCATTATAGTCATAAAAAGGATTATTTAAAGAGTTGGTGAATTAGTGGAAGCCTGTCTTTCCAGGACTATCTAAAGTTGATTATTTTTAATGCTTCTAGTGGTTCTAGATTCTTATGCTTCATAGCTCAATTTCAGTTGTATTTTCAACTTCTCTTCATGCAGATCTTGCTCTTTCCAAGCTTCCTCAAGGTCCCAAGTAGCATGAATGAATATTTATGCCAGCAAAATGCTTTGTTCATAATATATCTCTATGATATTTTCTAGTGATAATATATGAGAGCATCAAAAGAAGGAAAATTTTAAAATATTTTGTCAGAACTAGTACAGTGGCATGTAGAAAGCATTCAGGATACTTCTGACTTGATAAATGAGCAAATATTCAAGTTTTAGTTGTTAGCAATTTTTATGTGATCCATTTAAAGCTGAATCAGTAAAATATACTCTTTATCCTTTCTTTGTACACCTACATGAAACCTTCTAAGAGGAATAGGGTTTTATCACTATGACTGTGCAATATTTGTTGTGTAGTCACATTTACATCTCTTAATGAATAGACTGCATGCTATACAAAACAAGTTAAATGGGTAGAAATAAACCACCTGGGAAAATAGCAGGACAAAAGCAAAGTAAGACAATTTATAGAGGGCATATTTCTGAAACTAAATGCTAATTATGTTAGGGCATTTATAGAGTAAAAGTATGTAACAGTTAAAGGGAACATCACTAAGTACTTTAAGATGCACTAGGTCATTTAATCTCACAGTTACCCTAAGAACTAGATCATATTTTACCTATTGTACAGCTGAAGGAATGAAACATAAATGTTTGTCCAGTTATTTGCCCTTAATATAGGGTTGAGTCAGTATTTATATCCAGTTTATTTGATTTTGACTTTAGAACACACACTTTAAGAAAAAATTATGGTTAAAGTCACAACATAAAATTATAATTTTAATCATGTTTTACTGTACAGTTTAGTAGTGTTAAGTATATCTATTGTGCAAAGTATCTTCAGAATTTTTCAAGTTAACAAAACTAAACCTCTACATGCACTAAACAGCAACTAGCCATTTCTCTCTCTGTCCAGCGCCTGGCAACTACTATTCATTCTATTTTCTGTTTTTATGACATTGACTATATTAGAGACCATGGAAGTAGAATCATGTAGTATTTGTCTTTTTTTGTGACCACCTTTTTTTTTTATTTCGCATAATGTCCTCAAAGTTTACTGATATTGTAGCATGTGATAGAATTTTTAAGATTGAAAAATCTTCTGTTGGATATATATACTGCATTTAAAAAAATTTATCCATTCATAGGTTGATGAATATTTGGGTAGTTTCTACTCCTGGGCCATGGTGAATCCCTACTATAAATAATGGGTGTGCACAGTGAAATTTTACTCAGTAATAAAAGAGAATAAAATCATGGCATTTGCAGGTAAATGGATGGTGTTGGAGAAGATAATGCTAAGTGAAGTTAGCCAATCCCCAAAAACAAATGCTGATGTTTTCTTTGATATAAGGAGACTGACTCATAGTGGGGTAGAATGGAGGGGAGCATGGGAAGAATAGATGAATTCTAGATAGGGCAGAGGGGTGGGAGGGAAAGGGAGGGGACAGGGGATTAGCAAGGATGGTGGAATGTGATAGACATCATTATCCCATGTACATGTATGAAGACACAAATTGGTATCAACATACTTTATATACAATCAGAGATATGAAAAATTGTGCTGTATATGTGTAATAAGAATTGTAATGCATTCTGCTGTCATTTATTTTAAAAAAATCAATAAAAAAGAATTAAAAAAATGGGTGTGCAAATATCTTTTGAAAGCCTACTCTCAACTCTTTGACTAAGTTTAATTAAAAAAATTTAGCTTATACATAAACATGAAATAATTATGCATATTTATGGGGCACCATGTGATGTTTTGATATATATATATATATATATATATATATATA